TTAGATAATATGTTGTATCTCCATTCTCGAACTCACTACTTAACATCTATTTTACAAATTTTCTAGCATTTTCAAAAGATACCGATATTGAGAGAATGTTCAACCCATGATGGTCGATGCCATGAAGAAAGAAAATAAATATTTTACAATAGATAAATTTCTTGTGTACGATTTCCTATACATAAAAATTGTAAAAAGTAATTAATAAAATACTTTTATTATATGTTTGGTGTAGATTAAAGTCATAAAAATTTCAATTCAAAATCAACAATTAATTTTAATCACATATTTTATATGTCTCACAACTTATCAATCTCATAGTTCACCAATATTTATTAAAATATACTAAAAATCTAATTTTAATCTATAGCGAACATTGCTTAAATATGCGCTGTCATGGGCACTGGATCTTTTTAGTTTATTTATTATTTGAACTTGAAATAAAATTATTTACTTAAATATTTGATATTCACAAGCTAGTCTGGATCCTAATAAATTTTAATGTCATCGTCACTCTTTTTTTTTTTAATATTGTTAAATTTCCTGAAAGGTCTAATGAAATATTTAGCAAGCAGAATAAGTCAAGTTAGTTTTGCTCTCTCTCTCTCTCTCTCTCTCTCTCTCTCTCTCTCTCATTGACTAATTCTACGTTTAAATAAATTATAGAATGTTATATATAATAGTTCTAAACAACCAACTTCAATTGGATGAAATGAAATTTAAAACACCACTGGTAAACAGAGACTTAGTTTTTTTTGGTGGAGATCAAAATCAGACTTTTTGTATATTTGGATAAAAGTTAATGAAATTTATTATTAAAACAGTATCGATCATATGGTTGAAATTAATTAATTTTAATAAAAATCTAAATTTTCATCCCCACGAAACAGGTGCTTAATAAATTTACGTTGTCCGAATTGATCAAAAAATATTATTTACTCATTACAATAAGGTTATTAGGTATTCCATCAAATTTTGTAAAACATTAATCCAAATTATTTTGATTGATATTTTTTCATGAAAATATTTTCTTACTTTTCGTCACATAACCAAATTTTCTTTGAAAACAAGAAAAATATTTTTTTAGGGACGGATGATTTTTTTTTTTCAAGTAATTGACTTCCTCTTTTATCTCTCTCATCTATCAGTTCTCTTATCTACCCATCAATAAAAAATGAACAAATATGATATTTTTTGTTGGGAAATATGTAGGAAATCTGGAACAATAAATAACTCCAAGGCACGAAAATCGTGATCTTTTAAGAGATGTTTCTCCCCTTTCCAACAAAGTCACANCCAACTTCAATTGGATGAAATGAAATTTAAAACGCCACTGGTAAACAGTCTTTTTTTGGTGGAGATCAAAATCAGACTTTTTGTAAATTTGGATAAAAGTTAATGAAATGTATTATTAAAAAATATCGATCATATGGTTGAATTAATTAATTTTAATAAAAATCTAAATTTCATCCCCACGAAACAGGTGCTTAATAAATTTACCTTGTCCGAATTGATCAAAAAAATATTATTTACTCATTACAATAAGGTTATTAGGTATTCCATCAAATTTTGTAAAACATTAATCCAAATTATTTTGATTGATATTTTTTCATGAAAATATTTTCTTACTTTTCGTCACATAATCAAATTTTCTTTGAAAACAAGAAAAATATTTTTTTAGGGACGGATGATTTTTATTTTTCAAGTAATTGACTTCCTCTTTATCTCTCTCATCTATCAATTCTCTTATCTACCCATCAATAAAAAATGAACAAATATAATATTTTTTAACTTAAAAACTATATTAATCATACACATTTAATTAATAATTTTCATATTGTCTTGAACATATTTTCTTTTCCTATAAATTCCATGCTTCACGTTAAAGACACCCTAAATATTGTCCAGAAGTAAAATTAATTAAAGTAAAACTGGGAGACTGGTTGATGGCATATTGTTATTAGTTCCTTATTTCTTTCGTTTATTTTCTACCGTAATCCGACTTCTCTTCTGGTTCGAAGTTTGGACTTCTAAGAGTTTACGGTACGATCTCCTACCCCCACTCCACTTCTACAATTTTACTTCATGGCTCATAATCATCAACCATATATATATTCCTTCAATCAATTATTGAGTAATGTTTTTGTGAGCTTAATCAATATCTTCTAAATCATTCTTTCTGGGCTAATATAAACGAAAACCAATCAAAACCCACAACGCATAATTCATTTGTGGGTCCATAATTCTCGAATTGTTGGTATAGAGTTATCAAAAAAAAAAGGTTTTTATAGCGAAAACTTTGTATTTTGTGAGAATTTGTGTGTTTATATATAATTGTTAATTAATGGCGAGTGCGGATGAGGATGCCGATGCTGTTTTGAGCGATGTTGAGGCCGATGATCCGGTGCCTATTGATATGAATAGCCATTCACCTGAGGATGTTTCGGTGGAGAGATTCCGGGAAGTTCTTGCGGAGCTTGACCGGGAGAAGCAAGCCCGGCTGGCCGTGGAGAATTCGAAGAACGACCTCCAGGTTCAGTTTAATAGGCTTAAAGTGCTTTGCCACGAGGCGATCAAGAAGCGCGATGAGTGCTCGAGACAGCTTGATGAGGCAGTGAAGGATAAGGAGGAGACATTGGGGAAATTGGAGAAGGTTTCTGGAGAGTTGAGTGAGGAAATCAAGTTGAAAGATGAGGCCCTGAGGCAAAAGGATGAGGTTTTAAGACAGTTAGAGGAGTTGGGGAAAGCTAAGGATTCGTCCCGGGTGGAAATGGAGACGGGATCATCAATGTTAGTTAGTGGGATTCAGAAGATTTCGAAGAAAGTTAGTAGTTACAAGGATTTTGGAGCAAATGGATTGCCAAGATCAAATAAATATTCGGGATTGCCAGCAGTGGCATATGGTGTAATTAAGCGGACGAATGAGATTGTCGAGGAGCTTTTGAAGCAGAATGAGTTGAACGTGAAGTCAAGGAATGAGGCTAGGGAGTTAATGGAGCAGAGGAATTATGAGATTGCCATTGAGATTTCTCAGCTCGAGGCGACGATTAGTGGATTGAGAGAGGAGGTGGGGAAAAAAACTGAGGAAATTGAGAGCTTGAAGAAGTCTGTGGATGAGAATAATGAGAAATTTGCTGAATTGGAAAGTGAGTTTTTTGGGAAGCAGGCGGCATCGGAGAGTGAAATGTCAAGGTTGAGGCTGTTAGCGAGAGAATACGAGTCAAAGATTGATTCACAAAGGCCGTTGTTGGTGGATCAATTGAATTATGTATCGAGAATTCATGAAAATATGTTTGAAGTTATGAAGATTGTTGATGCTAATAAATCCTCTGAATTGTCCGAATCGTTGTTCCTTGCAGAAGAAACAGATTTTGAGGAAAATCTTAGGGCTTCTTTGGCAGGAATTGAGTCTATTTATGAATTGAGTAAAATTGTTGTTGAGAAAACAAGGGATTTGATGAATGAGAAGAGTCGTGAAGTGAAAAGTCTAAATGAGACGGTTTCTCAATTCATAAAGGAGAAAGAACAACTTGACTCTTTATTGAGAAGTGCTTTGTCAAGAAGAATGTCAGTGGACTTGTCAGCAAAAGCAAATGAATTGTTTAAAGTTGCAGAAAATGGATTAAGAGAGGCCGGGATAGATTATAACTTCAGCAAACATCTTGGGGAAAATACGTTTCAGGCTTCTAAAGATATATCGGGTGGTGAAGAGACAGAAAAGGATGAAGTGTATGCTCTTGTAAGTAACTTTTTAGTGTTAAATTCCCTAATGATTTCTCATTCTTCTTTTTCCTCTCATTAATCATTGTTCTAATGCAGGCTAGTGCACTGGAGGATATCATTAAACAATCTCAGCTCGAGATCATTGATCTAAAGCATTCTGTGGAGGAACTCAGGTAACCTATTTTAGATATGTATTTTGTTATTGTATTAGTAATTTGACTATTCTGTAAATTTCATAACGTATAAAGGTTCTCTTTATGTGGCTCCTGATCTGCCTATCCCAAGGTCAAAGTCCTATGATTGTGGAAAATTTTGCTGTTCGTCAATGCCTCCTCTCACTGATGATTGAATAAAATACTCAAAAATAAACTGATCATTAATAGTGTGTAAAAGTAAAGAAAAAATTGCATATCAATGTCTCGAGATACTTTCTGAGAATGTATAGACATTGAATGGAACCAAGGCAGTGTGACCCATATACCTCAGTTCAGTATCGTTTATCTATATCATCTAAAAACATGCAAAATTTGACAACCTCATATATGCACAGCACTCATTTTCTAATTTGATTTTGCTGATACAATTATGTTCATCTCGTATCAACAGTTGGCAAACTAACTCTTGGTAACTTGATCTGCTATTATCAATTTCAAAAGCTGTGATATTACTGAAATAGTTATGTTTATCTCATCTCAACAGTAGGTAAACTAATTATTTATGGCTTGATTTTTCCTTGATAACATTTTTTTTTTTTTTTGAAAATGGCTCGAACTGATTAGTTGTGAACAAGAAATTTGTTTAAATGAGAAAAACATTAACTGGAGTTATTGTAACTTGGTTAATTTTCAGGCTACAATATAATATTGGAACTTAAAATTGTTATTTATTTTTATTCCTTGGAATATATTCTCAAATTTCCTTTTAATGAATTTCTTGGTTGATGAGTTTAAGAACTTGTAGATATCGAATTTTCTTAATTATTTATATGGTTTTGCTTACTTTCTGAATATACAAAACATGTTTGGGAGTTGTTTATAATTTGTCTAAGTTAGGAATAGGTAAAAAAGAGTGGCTGATAAGTGGGTAGTACTTATGGATCCCATAAAATATGTAAATAAAAAATAAATTGATCGATTATTAATGGATTATAAATGGTGCCAAACATGAGCTAAGATTTGCATTTTTTCCATATATTTCTTTTCTAGAAATTTGGGCTTGTTTGTACAGCCCATTTAAGATTTTATCCTTAGTTTTCCTCTGAAAACTTAGAAGTTGACATTAAGAGGGTGTTTGGTGGGGATTAAAATTAGATTTTTAGTAGATTGTGATAGAAGTTTTTGAAATGTGTGGTTGAAAAGTTGTGGGACCCATGAAAGATGTGATTAATATTGATCGTTTGACTTTGACTTGTATTNTCTTCATCAATTAGTAGCAATGATAAAGACTACATTAGGTCATCTTATTGCAAGGGTGTCCTCAATTGCGATTATAATGAATTTCGGATGACTCTAAATTTTAATAATTTCGTGAATTTGAATAGATTTTAACAGAATCCATAAGAATCTAATAAAAGATAGTGAAACTTCAAGAGTTTTTCGTGTGTATTTTTAAGCTTGAAATCCATCCAAATCTTTTGAACTTATAAATCTACAAGTAATTGAAGATACCTAAATTTAATGGATTTCATTGAAATCCATTAAAATTTTAATTGTGGACACCTGAATTTGGAAGAAATTTTAAAATTCATGAAAACCTTAATTGAGAACAAGCCTATAGATTTCAAAACAACTTGATGAACTCGTTACAAACAAGGATCATTAGTTTTTGACGAGACTCTAGATGGGAAAACACAAGAAGGCATTCATTTAACACTTCAGGATGGTTCTGCATACCAGGTGTTCTCAAAGTAAACTAATCTTGATTTTTGTGAACCATGATAAGTAGATTGAGATTCTCCACCCATTAAAAAAGTGTACGAGGAGAAAAACTAGTTTTGAACTTGAATTCTTCTTCTGGTCTCTTGCACATCCGTCTTCATCAAT